CAGCTCACTGTCAAAGCCACAAAAATAGATAACAGAAACGCCAGTCAAGCAGTCATGCTGGAAGCAGAAGACAGTTTGCTTAAAGTTATGGAAAGACTCAACATCGAAGTTCTGGATGAACGACACAGTTCGGTTCGGAAATCTTTTGGCGCAAACGTTCGGTTGTTTATCTATGTCCCGTCTGGTAAGTCGTTATGATCCCGGAGCGAAAATTAATCATCCCCCAATGATAATAATAACATCATTGGTCGAAATCATGGAAATTCATGTGATCGAAGTTTTTCATAGTGCGTAGACAGTAACGCGATTGCCAAGTTCATGTCCAGGGATTGCGATCGCTGGACCTAAACCACTCTACTCGCTTATAACGATGTATAGAAATGACCTCATGACTCTGCGTTGGGGCGTAGAGCATAACAAAATCGTTGTTTTTATTAATCCATTTCTGCATGTGGGAATGCTGGCATAGTGCTTCTGACACTTGACTGATATGTAACCTCTGTATTCTTATGTGCCTGTTAATATCTGACAATACACACTCGCCGCTCACTTTCTGCTGCTATCACTTCTATTAGCTCCCAAGAGGAAAGCAGAAGAGCCATGTATGGATGCGTAATGAGGCGAATGTCTAAATCTTTTTAATCACTCTAACGCATATCATTTGATTAGCGATGCGATTCATTTCCACGAAAAAGGCTAAAGAATGGCATGTCAACAGCACCATCTATCCCGGTATTCGTCCTTTCTACTACTATGCGGACCAAACGGAGCGTAACCGAAGTCTTATTGAACAAATAGCCAAAGGCCAGTTCATGCGTATGTATGGGCCCCGGGCTTCCGGGAAGTCCTCTCGTGTGTGGCAGGCAATGGAACAACTCGCATCTCTTGGTTACGAGTGCATCTAGTAAGTTTAAATCCTAATGACCACTACCCGCCGATAGTACTAATTACAGTTATTTGCCGAATAGTGCGACTCTCGAAGATGCGACTATCCGCGATGAGCAATCCTTCTGGGTGTCCCTTAACCAGCGTTTCGGATCGGAGTCCCGTCTCCCAGCTGTCATTGATAGCTCTGACAGTTTCCGCGAGGCCTTTGATCCAAGATACGAGAGGTGGAACCGCCCTGTAGTGATATTTCTAGACGAGTTTGATAAACTCCATGACGATGATGCAGCTGACGCTTGTTCTTCGGTCTTGAGCACAATTCGCGGCATCAGAAACGATCGAAAGACAGTCATACACTCCATCAATACAATAGGCACTTTCGCTATCCTCGAGTTGGACCAGACAAGGCCATCTCTATCGCCTTTCAACGCTACCGAAAACTTTGATGGTGTGAGCCTTGCAAAGGAGCAAGTTTATGATCTTTACAATGACTATTCTAAGGAACACAAGATAACTATCGAGCCTGCAGTCATTGAAGACATTTATGACTTAACCAGCGGGTACGTAAATTATATTGAACTATTGTAGGAAACCTGAATTTTCATGACGACTTATTGCGTTTCAACTCAGCAGACATGCCGGCCTTGTTTGCCTCTGTGGCCGCGCAATCCATCGTGAACTTTACCCTGATATTGATGCGGGAACGAAAGTGCTCAGTTTCGAGACATGGACAAATTTCGCTGACAAGTCGCTGCAAAATCAAATTACTGGATATGCCACGTTCCGAAAATTAATCGATACTCTTACAAAAGAGAAATATCGAGACGCCATGAACTTTCTTCGAACGTACTTTGTAGGAAATTCCGATGACTTTGTACCTGTACGCCATCTCGATCACCGCAGATTAGCCTCTTTTCTGGCTGCTCAAGGTGTGCTGCAATCAAGTCCACAAGACGAATCGGCAAGCGCCTTCAAAATGTCATCACCACTCATAGACGGGTTGATTCGGCAAGTTGTCATTCCCGCTGCGTACCCAAACTGCCCCAACCTGCCAATTCCAAAGGAAAATGGATCTTTGGACATTATAGGCATCCTGAAAGAAGCTATCAAATTCTTCGACAAAGACCTCATTACCCTGGCGCCTGAAACTGCGAGCAAAGTTAGCAAAGACGTGCGCGTGAATGGTCTGGTCAACCAACTTGTTCCTCGGGAGTCCGTATACGATTCAGAGACGTTGAGAATCTTAATGAATTGGCTTGACAGACAACACAATTATACAGTCGTTGGGCAGTGGACCATCAGAGATCCCAAATTGAGAGGCGACGTACAGGGGAGCCGCAAAGTCCTTGACATAGTTATCCAAAAAACCGGAACGCCGACAATAGTTTTAGAATTTCTGGCCACAGGATACCCTGACTTTATCAAACAGCATATTAATATTGGAAAGGCACCTATATACCAAAAGCGCGTCTCCGCAGATGCGAGCTGGGTTATTCACTTTACTCGTCAGGATGGATACCTTGACAAAACGAAGCCCATCTGGCAGTCCGATGAGGCCTTGAACATGGGCGTTAACCTGGTGCACATATGGCATGATGCGAATTTTACAACGGCGCGGATGGGTGCTCGTTGGAAGGATGCAGATGGCAATGTACAGCAGATTAATAATGAGGTGTTAACGGTTTGAAATGCGGGAATTCATCATGTGAAAATACAATAAACGCAGTCTTTCAGTCATCTCTGTAGCATGTTATGACGCAATTCGTATAAAAAGGCGTATAGGATTATCTCTCCCTATAACGAGCCTCTATTCCTCTATTTTTCTTTTCTTCCTTGGTTCTTTAAATGATTCCGCCAACGTCCGTTTAAGAGGTTTTTCTGACCGTTCCTCTTGAATTGGCATGCAAACACTAATTCAGCTTCGCGTCACTCTAAACTTGCAACTGAGAATAATTACCCGTATTCAAATAAGGGTACATACGATATGATAACAAGAACAATTATTATACCACACAGAGTCGAAGTGTTCTGACTAGTTGAGTAAATCTTATTTGTCTTAAACTAACTAAATAATTCTTCAATATTAACTATTACTATAAGCTCTCGTTCTGCTATCACTAATAACCAAGTATATTTTTACTTGAGTGAGCCGTTTATAGGTACAAGACTGTATATCCGGTTAATGATGAAAGAAGAAAGTAATTCGATTTCAATGGGAAATCGTTTACTTAATTTCCGTTGATATAAGGACTTATTCAACGATTATTATCGTTAACTGTTAAACTAAGTTTTGCCGATGAGATAATCTACTTATATCTTTTATGACGCGGGAAGAAACGGTGCATGTCTAAAATAAGCAGCAGATACAACTGCCCTCCAATTTAAATTGTTAAATACTTCGAACGGGTTAGCCGTGCAAGCACTTCGGGTCCAATCTGACTAAAAGACAACAGGGCCAATGGGCAAGTTTATTAAATAAGCATTGTGTCTCAAGAATGAATAAAATAATAGTGTATCGGAAACGAACAGGTTTGGGTACGAAAACAATGTCGGGAAACACACATCATCCAGTTGATGATAGAACGCTTTGAAACAAGCTCAAATGCTGCCTACGTTATTCAGGTAGTATAAAGCTTATTGCCAATTTTACACATCGTCTAAAGATTTATTTTTAACTATTTTATTTTACATAAGCAAATAATCTACCCAGCAAGGCAGCTAACAGTAAACGTGCGCAATTTGATTTTTTAAGTCAACCATATTGAAATATGTGAAAGCACATCGTATAATTCGATAACTGTAAGAAGTACAAGTTTATTCGAAAAGAGATTGAGTCACTAAATTATTATAATCAGCGGATAATGTTAATATAAATATGGTAAATTTAAAAATTGACATTAGTATTTGTACCAATGCATAACATACCTGCAGCTGAATCCAAATCATAACTATTCCTCGGTTTAGGCAAAGCTCCAGTAGGTAAGAGTGTGCTGGAATATTTACTCTGCTTCTCGAGACGTGATAATGGTTTTACATCATTATGATAAACGGCATTCCACACGTTGTCACCAGATTTATTCTTTACTACAGCTATTTTTATTTTGCGAATATCATCGTTAAGTGTCTTTGCATCAGGACGCTTATCAGGATCAGCATCACAACACCGCTCGGCAAGTCTCTTGTATTCCTCTGGCGCAGAATCAGGCATCGACGGTCGCAGTCCCTCACAAATACGTATCGCCAAACATTTGTCAAACGACCAATCTCTAAATATAAACGGTGGTTCACCAGTAGCAATCAAATGCATGATGATACCAAAAGAGTACACATCTGATTTCTGAGTAAATTTGTAAGTATGAAAGACTTCTGGTGCAATGAAAGGCAATATGCCTTGACGAATTGAATTTGACTTGCGTAAATTCACTGATTGTGAGAGACCAAGATCGCATATGTATGATCTTGTATAACGCGCATTGACTTTATGCATAACAATGTTTCCACCATGAAGATCACAATGCACTAATCCCGCATCATGAATATGACGCAGATACCGTGCAATATGCCACAGTGGCATAATTTATCTTTCCACGTCAATTTGTTAATATTTTGATCCAAGTAAGACAAAAGACTACCATTGTTAGCATATTGCATAACAGTCATGTACTCTTTCGTCTCCGGATCTTGCGTGACTCCATGAATTCTAAGAAATAAATTATTATTGCTTGTACACTTGGCGTGATTTCTGAACTATTAAAATAAATAATAATAAAAGTCAATTAAATATCACTTTAATTAATACTACCAATTCAATCATTGCTTACCTCGGAAATAAATAATTTC